ACAGTCAGACCAGCACACAACCATTTGCGAGGGGCTGGTGTCCAAAGTGTGAGAACATGGGGGGTCATTATAGCGTTTGCAGCGACGTCGTGTGTGAGTCAGCCACTGGGAGGTGATTGGCCAGACTGGATTGGGGGGCACGGGACACTGGTGCGTGCGCACTTGCTAGCAGCCACGAGGGGCGAGCGTTGCGTGCGGAGTGGGGACACTATACCCCTCCTCTCTCCACAGGAGCACGCATAGGCCGTTATTGAATGCTACGTTTAAAGCCTACAATGCGTAGGTTAAATTTCAAGTAGTTAAGACGACTGCTTAGCAGACTCCTGCTGTATCGGGTGCTCCGCAGACATTCTGCATCTCTAGCGCATGAAAAGGAACATCAAGGATCAAGGGATGGCATTGAGTCCGGCCTTGAAAGTGCAGTGCCATTTCTATGAGTTAAGACAATGAAGACAATGTGTGCGGCTGATAATTGTACCCTTTCGGAAGGAAGAGTCATGATTTCTCTCATTTTACCCCAAAACTCTTTGAATTATTGTTACGTAGGAAGGGTACTCACGTGGTAACTCCAGGTGTATCAACCGTCGTCAGCCATCCATATACCAAATTCAAGCTGAGTACACCTTACATTTAAATAGGAATTCCCTTGCTGTCAGAAATGGACGCCCTAAGAGTTGAGCCATGTGCTCGCGCTCTACCAGGGCTCTAAGACAAAACCAAGTGTGAGTAAACTTACGACTCCCATTGGGGGCCTCATAGCTTAGTGGCCTAGAGTGTTGAGTATACTGAGGCCTTCCCCTGGCTGGCGTGGGTCCGCATCCCACCGAGGCCGCCGGGTTTTAGACAACTGGGCCAAAGGAATTATTCAAACCTGCACACAAACTATACTAATTGAGTTTGCATGGCAGTTCTAAATTTTTTTAGGAAATCCTGCTTGGGTAATTTTTGGGATGAGCCAAACAGATAGCCTGCGCAAGCAGCTGCGCGCTCAGCAGGCTATCGATTGGCCACAGGCAGCAAACACAACTTGCAGTCAAATCAATCGATAATTCGAAATTTCAGCTGAATGTCAGCCACCGAGTCCCAGCCAATCACGCCGGCAGCCAAAAGCTGATTGGCTCGCTGGACCTAGCTCACAGTCTTTTGTTGCCCTACTTTCGTTGTACATGGTACACACTCAAGGACTTGCTCTGACTTGCTGTAACGTGCTTGTCTCAGTAAACTCCCTGTCTCTGGCTAACCGGTCTTCTCTCTGTCTCACTCTTACGGGTTCTTTGGTTCGGCGTTCGACTAAATTAACAGTACCAGACGCGGGTCATAACAGTAATTAGCTTACTATATCGTCGTTGGTGGATTCCATACGATGCGGTGGGCTGGGCAACCGCCCAACTAGGATTAAACTCACTCGTCGCCAATTGCCGTCTAGGCAGGTTTTCTCGCCAAGATGATTCATTGGTTAAATTTTATGGTCTCAAATTGATATTGTGAGTGTCCCTGCAGTACTGTTCTCCCTTCCGCCTACTTTCCATTCATTCTCAAAGCCTGGTCCCACCACATGGACCAATAGACTCGAAAAAATCAGCAGTGACCGCAGTTTCAAATGTCCCACCATCGACTTTGCTCGTGTAATCGTCAATGAGCAACGTGCGGTCCACAAACACCCCAGCAAGCGGAGCGTTACTCGCCCTACTTACTTCTATGAGTTCACCCACCGGACAAAATCCCTGCCCTGGCCAACCTGGGCTGGCGTCATGCACGGATACGAGATCGAGTACGTCTTCGGGATTCCCTTCTCGCCCCTATTCACTGAGGCCTTCTACGGCTTCACTGATGAGGAACGCGAACTCAGTGATGTCATGATGACCTATTGGGCTAACTTTGCACGAACCGGGTGAGTACTTATACTCTCTCTCTCTTTCCCTCTCAATTAGCTCAATCTTTCATTATTACTACACTTTCTATGCTATGTCAAACGTTTCTATCACTTTGCAGATCAATTACATTTGCTAACAGCAAGCGCAAACGTCGTACAGCTAAAATAATTCTGCCACGTTCTTAGTATCACTCGTAAAGCAATTGTTTTGCCTAAGGACATGAACCGTAAGAAGACGACTGAGCCATCTGCACTAAACGTACTGAGCCTTCAGTGGTATCTACGTCTCGGTAGAATCCTAGTTTAGGTCCCAGATCAGCACGCGAAAGCTCCATCATTCTGCAATACAGAACCAGGTGAACTAAAGAGTTTACAGTCTGGGCAATACAAAGCGAGGGAAATATAACTAAAAATAAAGTTCATAAAAGTAGAAAAAGCAGGAATAATTATTTTAATGCCCTAATGTTTGTCAATAAAAATGCGTGCCATAATTAAAATGCGCAAATATGCAAATATTAGGAAATAACTAAATCAAAAATAACTAACTAAAACTAAAATCAACTAAAAAAATGTGAGTTAAAGTAAGTTAAACTGGCTTTAGCTTAAAAATAATCAAAAACTAATAAATAGTAAACATAATAATGAACTCAAAACTAAACTGAAAACTCTACTCAAACATAAATAAGTTAAGTAAACCAAATAAAATACACGAACGCAAAATTTTTGTTCATGTAAATTGAAGGTGTGCGCCGCGCTTTGCGCCGCGAACGATACTCATGTAACTCCAATACGGTAATTTGGATCCCAGGCGATTTGAAGTAGACGATCTCCTAACCACCAAATGTTCTTTCAGAAATATCAAGAAACCCAATAAACTAAGCAAAAATGTCCAAATTTGTCACACCCAGTAAACTATAAGTAAGTAATAAATATAAGTGAATTTATGCGTTTATTGATAGCGCGTGATTTTGTTGCAAAATCTTAAAACTATTTGCACAATTTCTGGGACCTTAATTAGGATTACACCCATATCTCCACGTTTTTCTTCTTTTTTCACGGCTGATTCGGGCTGTATCACTGAAAGGGAGTGCAGGGGT